TCACGCATTGCTGAAAACATGTGTTTGCCGAAATGAGTTCTCAATTACAAAATGGGAATATTGGCAGAACTTTGATCTCCGTCTGGCGCGGATTCTAACAAGCCTCCGGACAACCTTTATACAGAGGAGTACTCGCCTAGCCACAGAGTAGAAAGCTAAAAATTGTACCACATGTTTCACAAATACCCGAGGCCGGACCATGTCAATTACTACATTTTTAGGCAACACACGGGTATAAAAATAATTTATACACAAAATTTTATGTCTTTTTACTCAACGAGAGGCAAAGGCGGAAATATTTAATAAAGGCTCCCGATTTTCAGGGTTCAAGCATCTTGTTATTCGTATGTTTCATATTCAATAAAACTGTTCAGAAGAACATGGCTCGATCGCTGGGACAATACGTTTATTCGCCTGACGTTTCAACATTCATCACAGACCCATTTCTGCTACTGTTTCCTGCTCATGTCTCTGATAATGAGTCCGTGACGGATGCCGAAACGTCAGGCGAATAAAAGTATTGTCCCAGCGATCGAGTCTTCTTCTTTTCAAGTGCTTCCTGGGACTCGCATGTTCGCTTGTATAAAACTGTTCCTCCAGATTCGAAAAAAAACATATTTCGCATCCCAACTGAATCGATGGCTGCCTTCTTCAAAAATCAACCAAATATAGAACAATGACGAATCGAACTCAAGAAAAATCATCATTTTTCGATTAAAAACATGCCTCAGATTGCCTGTGGATGACGCCATTATAGGGGGAATTTTCCAAAGGTTGCGATATAGGCTCCATTACGTCATTAATGGGTATATTGAAAGGATGCAAAACCAGTTAATTTGGCCAAAACGAATCACACACAAAGTCAACTCTATTGCATTTGGCGGTACATATTTCTGCGTGATACAGGATTTCTTACCAGATGACCGATCACACGAAAAACGTTCTAGTACAAATTGAAAGATAAATGAAGAATAAAATGCAGGAACTTTTGGTGGCTAACATAAAACGGATCAGCCTTTGTCTGTCATGCTTCCTTGACGATCTGCATAGCCGCTGAGGCCGCACCCGTCGGCGAAGTTGGCTCTGAGGTTGGTGTCACCACCGCCTCGGGGAAAAGAGGTGTAGACTTGCACATCGTCAGAGTGCCACTGTCTTTTCTGGAATTGTTATCCTTCTCGAAACATGCGTCAGCACTTCGTGAAGGGGCAAACCAGCTGTACGTGCGTCCCTTGGGGGCTATATCAGGGGTCTGTGTGGTTTCCTCTGGCCTTAAGTGCGTTTGTGGCAGATAAGAACGTCGATGGCGCTTCTGTCGCTCCCTATCCCAGAAGAGGTATGCCTCGCTTTCGTCATCCGTATGTTCGCCGAAAACGCCACCACGTTGGAAGAGTTTTGATACGCTACTCAGTGTCAAGCTGCGATGGCTGGAACGCTTGCGTCCGTCTGGCTTGGGAACAGTGAGAAAGCGATTGATACCCTCCTTCTCCGTACTGCCACTGTCTTCCTCCACAGTTTCTAGTTTTTCCGATGAGGTTGTGCCGGTTTTGCTTTTTCGGGTCCTGCCAATAACCCAACGCAGCTTTGTTCGCGAACTCGGCACATTCTCCTTGCTGTTTAAATCCGGGTTTTTGCCATCACTTGAAGTGTCTGACTCGTCTGTGGTAACCACAGAGCTTACTATCTCCTTCACCAAACTCAAATCCGCCTTTAGGTCTTCACGTGAGCTCACAATTGCCGGGTTTTGGCCAATTTTACTGAGCCGTTCGGCTGCAACTGACTCCATCGTTCGTCGCATCAGGGGATAGCTGTTGAGCACGGCAACGAAACTGTCTCGGTCCAGAGAGTAGAGATTTGAGTAGATGACTGCGCGCACGCTGGCCACTCGCTTGGCATTAGTGAGCAGGCAAATTTCTAAAAAAAGAGAAAATTCAGTTTGTCTCATAGTGCTAGGAAGCAATATGCACCAAATTACTTTTATCTTAAATGCGGACTAAAACAGTGGCCGGAGGTCTCCGGTGAGCAGTGTCGGATATGAATAGTTTTAGCTGCGCGCGGTTATTGATCTTGTTAAAAAACCGGACGTGCGTGCTTCACCGATCTAGTGTCGTTGCATGCCGCAGCTGCGCAGGAGGTGGGCACATTAGCGTGCTCTATACGTTTTATGTTATCTGAACCTAATGTGTCGTGTTATCTTGTTAAATTTTCAAGGATATTAAAGCGCGAACCTGTTTTAAATTCCTCGGAACAAACCTTTTTGGACTTGTTCCTTAGTAAATTATTGGGTGGTTAACTAAGGCTGCGTGGAAAATAAACTTCGTGTGGCAGGAACACACAGGGTCTGTTGTGAACCCAGCGCTGATTCGAAATCCTCGTAGGTGTGCTGTGCAGCGGCAAATGATCGGCGAATCAAGCGGGTCTGACTTTTTAGTTAACGCTTGTGCCGCCGGTAAGAAAATTATTATTTACTGTCTGTTGGCAGTTTACACAGCAGATTTCATATATTACTGGAAGTCAGCCGACGTCCGGGTATGTGCTTTTGTTTCGAAAAAATACTTAAGTGGGCTGTCATTTAATTGTTGTTCAGGCGTATTTCAAGGCATTTTAGTCAGCGCAGCATGCCGGTTTGTGAAAGAGGTTCTTTTCAGCTCGTTAAAAAATACATACTCTTCAAAAAGATGATACCTGAATGGAATCAATTTACTTCTCGGGCATGCGTAGTCATATTTTTTCTGGTAATACTTTGGTAGGAAATTGCAAATTATAAAATGTTTTACACAGAAGTGGATGATTTCTACTTTAAGAAAATGTTGTAGCAACGGTCGGTTCTCAAAAGCTTATAAATATTAGGCTGCGTATCATGCGTTTACTAAAAGCATCTTCGATAAGCAACGGATGAAGGCACAAACACAACTACTGAGGAGGAGTTATCGAAGTGGAACGGAGCTAGTCGATGTAGCGTGGAGCGTAAAATTTGCAGTGAAGAGAGGGAACTGAACACTACCGGGATTGTTATTTTCGCACTGGTCCCCAGGGACGGGAGAATGTAAGTAGAACGCCAGTAGAACTGGCCTATTTATTAAATTAAGTCGACATATTGAAATATTGGAAAGGAAAACTTTGAATTTACGTGCAGTAGCGTGATTTGTGATGTCTACACTTGCAAGCACTATCCAATGAATGCATGAAGTCATTTATATGCAAAGCCTCTCTTGTTTTTTATAGTGTTGTCGTGCGTTCTGAATGTTCAACAGTAACATTACGTTTTATAAGACTACGCACTTATGGATATTATAATTTGATTAAGAAAATTATATCTTTTCGGATTATAGAGATATGTGAAATGAGACTTCCATATTGTCTTCAGCGTTAATTGAAACTAAAATTTAAAATAAAATGCGGATTTTTATTTGGAAAGTTGTCGATAGGTTACGATTTATTCCTATTTCCTTACCAAAATATATCTGATTCTTTGCTTTGTATACGAAATGCTTCTTGTCTCATAAATTTGATTCCTCAACTTCCTCTGTTCGGAATAAATAACCTTATTCGTTTAAATCTTCTTTGAAATCGGCTGCATTTGTTGATAAGTAATTTAGATAATAGACCGGGAATGGTTTTATAGGCGTAGATAAGTTTAATATATAATTAAGAGTGAAGACTGTCGTGGAACATTTTAGATGCCAGTAGATTGTCCTTAAGTAAGCACCTACATTTAAAATTTGACCGAATCCGATGATAAAGTAAGACGGCAGATTCAGTAGTACTAGGAGAATGCAGACATGCTAATTTCTGAATACTACTTGATTTAATTTTCTATTTTGGCTTTTTATGGGCAGTCAATCCAACTAATCAGCCTTGTTTTCTTACCCAGTGAATTAACATATTTTTACCTGTCTCGTGGAAGCCAAGTCCTTGGCGCATAAACCAGGGTGTCATTGAAAAACTGATCACATCAATAACTCTAGGTAACCTCCTCTGGTAAAATGGAACCCCTTTGCAGTTCTGCTGCGCTACCTTAGATAGATAGTTCACAAATGTGGTAATTAATCACGCTTAACGTGCCGAAAATGTGCTGACGAGCCTCTAGGACTGTGTAGCAGTTTAATTCCGGTATTTTCCTAATAAAAAGTCCACATTGACATTGATGAGTCGGTGTTATGACGATACCTGACGAGCGCAGTAGCGCATACCATATCAAGTCGTGATTTTCTGTATATACCTGACGATTGTTTTTAAGTGATATTTTCCTCCAAAGAAGGTTAATCACTATTTGTATTAATTTATTCAGAGCTCGCGGCATTCCGAACATAAGTTTGTCTTATGTACCAGGACAGGAGTACACGTTAATATCAAAGTGCGAGACTATTGGAAGATTTAACTTTACTAAAATGTGCTCAGACATGTTATAAATTCTGATACGTTCATAACACATATGACAGATAAATATATTTATAATTAAATACTTTTTTTACTATCTATCGTTGTCTACGCGTAGTGCAGTAGGAAGTATTTTCTTAAGTCCAGTCCACAGTAGAAGCAATACACCGCTGAGTTTTGTTGTATTCCCTTGTTTTTAAGGATCATGTAAGACTTCCCACCTGGTTAACTCATGACCTGGCTTTTCGCCAAATATATTTTCGAATATTTTGACAATTAAAGTATCATTTGCACAGCTGGGAATCTAAATATTTAAACACATTTAGTCTTTAACCAATCCTTGTGGTAAAGAAATTATCCAGTTAACAGAACCATAAACATTCAAATACAGGCCGTCTACACAATGTGAACTCCTCTACTAATTGCCTGCAAAGTATCTGCTAAGTGGAAAAACCCGAAAACCTTGAATTCCTTTACGAAGTGCAAGGTATTTACACTACAGTGATGATGTCTTAAATGTTTGAAAGCAATTAAATCTGAGTTTCAAATTGTCTTAACACTCATCAGTTCCTTATAAAAAGCACGTGGCACAACTGTCCTTGCAGGAATTAGGAATGTTAGGGTGCACATTTCCGTGTCTCTGTTTACTTTGCGACGAAGATAAACAAGCAACTACGACAACTTTTACGATGACCCATCATCAAGAGGATGAAGAGAGCAAAAATATCTGAACATTCCAATGTTGTGCGTTAACATTCCCATTGTCCTTGCATCGATATATGACGGCAAATGTGTGCCACTGGCGCGGATGGCATGCTGTCCTACACCTTTCACCCACAGTTTTTTTTCTCCCCTTCATTCAGTCCCCTCCTCCTTTCTCCTTTACTGAATATACGCCAAATCTTGTTGTTTAAATGGCTCGGGAGCGGAGGAATGCTGCTACCCCACCGAGGCCTGAAATAACACTAATGTATTGACGGTTCTCTTAAGGATGCTAATTTTAGTATGCTCTTGTGTACCGCAAAAGTGCATTCTCTGCACGCTCCATCTTCTATTTTCATTTCTGTATAAGTACAACCGCGCACAAAAGACATGGAGTAGAGTGATGTTTGCCCTGTTGATTGGGCCTTCTTCTTTATTGACAACAATAACTGTTCAATAATTATACGGTTTTCTGCAAAAAATATTTAAGAAAAACTATTTCGCGGAATGAAAAAAACCTATTTAAATCGGTCTACTGTTTTTCTTTTATATTTTCTATAAAAGGATAAGATTTTTGGCGTGTCCATCAAACATTCACAAAAGCTTTTGTCGTAGGTTTTTTGTCGCAGTAACTCGAGTTCAGGATGTCATGTATGGTTATTTTAGTGCTGATTGCTATTCTTGCTTTTCATCCTGGTCGGCTAATGAATTTTACTATTGATGCATATCAAATGCGCGAATGTTCAAAGGCGACTGAGTTGCGACTCAATTTCCCCTTTCGATACGCCCACGAAACAACTGATCTATGCAGGTAAGAAGCACGGTGCTTTGAGATTGTATATGACGGCAACGTATTTTGAATATTGCGGGGTTTTATTGTGAGGCTACCGTAGTCAGGAACATGATTGACCGAATAAAGGCAAAATACCACTGAATTGTGCATTCATTCGTCCATTCGTGCGTTTATCTCAAAGTCCCTATGTTTAGATAAACACCTCAATAGCAAGCTCCAAAATGCTTCGTGGAGCCCCACAGCCTGACACGCAAAACGATGTAATTTGACTAAGTTTCATTCATTAAACGCTGCATGAACTAATCCCATTAAAGATACCAAAATCTCTGGCGTTCTGCTGAACACTGTTGAAGAAATCGTATAAAGTTCCCGAAAAGTGAACGTTGATTTTAATTGTCCAATTTTGTAAGCGTTTTGCTGTATTATTCGGCGGTCGGATGAGACTACCTCTTAAAATCCATACTCACATTTGTCTTTGACTCAGAAACTACGAAAGCCACAAAATTGCAACGAAAATTTTGCAGATACCACAGCTTACCCGTGACATCTGATATACCACTGGTAAGAAGATGCGCATGTACACGGAAATAAGCAAATTGAAGTCCCTTTATTTTATAGCCTTAGTGCCCGCATAATTGTGTTTATATAAGTCAAAAATAGCTCCTGAACTTCATACTTATGAGCCCGAAAGGGCGGAAACGGAAAGGCTCGCAGAGGACAAATTGATGTCTTTTCACTGTTAGGATTCGAAGAAAAGACAGCTCAATTGCTGCGTGTCATTTTAAATTGTCGTTCGAGGTATGCTTACTAGACCTTGATATTTAGGGAAAATTTTAAACTACTTTAAGTCGTTTCACATAAACTGGAAGGCAGGCGTCCTAAAAAAATGTAATTTCAGAGACAGTCGTCCTTTGGCAAAATGAGTAAATGTATGCAGTAAATTTTCGACGCTGGATCCGCAGGTCATCGTCAGACTTGCGAAGAATGTGCAAATGCGTTCTTCGCACATTCTTCGCAAGTCTGCCGATGACCTAGGGATCCACATGCCACCTCTTCCATTGCCCGGCCAA